CCTCTGCGTCTCTCTCTCTCTCTCTCTCTCTCTCTCTCTCTCTCTCTCTCTCTCTCTTTCTTCCTTTTTTTTTGGCTGAAGGCGACCAGAAGGAATGATTTGGTGTACAACCGGCATCTTCCATTCAGTGGAAGATGGAGGTTCCTCCCTACTCTCAGATCATACTTCTATTTTCCAGTATCTGCAGACAAGAAAGCTCTTGCAGTTCTTGGTCTTGTAGGGCTCTGGGGATAACACTTCTTACAATGTCTACTCACTTCTTGTCTTCCTGTCAAAGTTTTACCTGTTCTTTAAGCTCAAGGGTTACCTACCCTGTTAATTATTTGCTTACAATCATCTATAGACACAAGAGCTCCCATCTTTAATCATGACAACCTTTCTTTCCTTCCTTTTTTGCCTTCCTTCTCCCTCTCCCTTTTCCCCTCCCTCCTCTCAGTTCTGGGGATTGAGCACAAGGCTTTGCTCATGCAATGCTTCACTGCAATTTTTATATTTTCCTTTAGAGCACACCTTTCCTTTCTTTCTAACCTATAGCACAGATTTCTAAAGGTAAAATTGTTCTGGCTCTGCAGACCACACCAAACCATTGCTTTGTATAGCTACTCCTCTTCCAGGTGGGCTCTGGCAAAACACACTGAGAAGGATGCTTCCTGAATCATCTTTGAACTCTAGTCTGTGTGTATATATATAGTCTTGACCCATTAGGAATACATATTTTGACTCTGTGTGTCTCTTCCCCTAATTGGGAACATCCATGATCTTGTTTAGGTTCTGGTTTCCTATCATGATCCCTTCCTGCTTGCAGGCCCTTTGTCCCTTAGTCAAGCTCCACAATGTCACTGTGGGTCTTCTCCATGGTTATTGGTTGATACTCCCTTCACTCAATGGAAGGGAAAAGAAGGCAAGTAAATCAGATGTACTGTCCTTTAGAGCAGTGGTTCTCTATCTGTGGGTTGCAACCCCTTTGGCAAACCTCTATCTTTAAAAATATTTACATTATAATTCATAACAGTAGTAACATTATAGTTATAAAGTAGCAAAAAAATAATTTTATGGTGTATGTATGTATGTATGTATGTATGTATGTATGTATGTGTATCACTCCAGCATGAAGAACTGTATTAAAAGGGTTGCAGCATCAGGAAGGTTGAGAACTACTGTATTAGAATTAGAATTCTTAGTGCTTCCACAGAGAGATGCACACACTACAAGGATATACATTTGCTCCATATTTGCTGCAGTAACATAAGATTGGGCTGAGAAAAATTTGGAACTATTAAGAAAAAGTGGGCTGGGGATACAGCTCAATTGATAGAGTGTTTGCCTAGCACATGGCCTGAGTTTGAGCCCCAGCAACAACCAAAGTGATAGCACAGGCCCCACATTCCAGCACAGGAGGTAGAGGCAGGAGTATCAGAATTCAAAGGTCATTCTCAGCTCTACAGTAAGTTTGAGACCAGTCTGGGTTATATGAGACCCTGTCTTAAAAAACAAAAACAACAAAAACCAACCAACCAAACAAAAAAATATTGTAAAATTAAGATTAGCTGACCTGTCATTTGCAGAATTAATCTTTAATTCTTCTTCAGAATGTTTTCATATTTTATTCTGACAAGTGACTTCTAAATTAGATACTTAGGAACAAAGAGTCTGGATTGATTCTCCACGTTGCTAATTACCTTGTTTCTTGATGAGCAGAGCCCTGTGTTTGTCAAGTGTCTTTCCATATGACCGAGTTGGAAAAAGAAAGGGTGGCTTTCAAACCCTCTGGCCAATGTTCGTTGTATGCTCATCTTGTTTTTATTACTTAAAACTATTGGAATTTCAAAGTATATTTCTTTAAAAAGAATGCATTTTGTGCATTGAGCCTTGTGTTTTAAACCTTTTTTGTTACTAGTTATATTACTGATAAAAATGCCACATTTTGTGTACCAAGCAAAATCTGAATAGCACTATAATGATGATAATTTATTAAGGTAGAAGAACTAGAAATTAACCCCAATTATCTGTCAACTTGCAATTTTCCATGTATTTTTCTCTTAATAGCATACTAACATTGTAGGAACTGTACTTAATAAAGTCTTCAAGCAGGTTATTATTTTATTATTTGATAGGGTTTGATTGGCTGGCAAATATGTGCATAACCACTGGCTATCAAATAAATTATACCTAAAGAAATCTACAATGTAACGTTTGTATTATTGAAAATTCATTCACTGCACTTGTCCCGTACCCTAACACCTCAACACTTCATTTTTATACACAAAGTTAGTTGTGACTATGCTGGAAAGAAGAGAACGTCCCGTCCATTGGATAGAGGACAGCCTTTTAAAGCATCCACGCGTGCGCAGAAGCCACATGCTCATCATCAAAGCGACAGGGAGAAATAGACAATATACTACACTTGAAACTCCATTGAAAAGCTTGAAGAGACTTTTTTATCAGAAATTTATCAGCTGGGTGATGCAAGAGTTCCTTTGTGCTATCAACTTACATTTGGCCCTTCGAGCATCAGTGCCGTTCTGTAAATTAATACCAACATTGGACAAGCTTTTTAAAAAAAAAATTGGAAAGAATCCAGCCTTAGGATTATTTAGTTCACTGCCTTTCAAGGCAGGGCTTTTTTTCATGTACAGGTGAGTGTTTCTTACCCGAGATTTGTGGGTCTGAATTGCTTCCAGTCATGGAGAAATTATTCTCCACATTAAGGCTTGGCACACTTATGCAGAAAACTTCCTCCTGGCAGCTGCTCTGGTATAGCGGCCTAATGCCTCTGGTGTGAGACAGAACATATCCCCACCTTTGTGACAGGACAGTCCTTCAGTTGTTCTCGCTTAGGGCCTCATTTTCCTGGAATCCAGCGTCTTCCCCCCCATCCCCCTCCCCCCGCCACTGCCACCCCCTCCCGCAAAACACACACACACACACACACACACACACACACACACACACACACGGTGGGGCAAGGGGTGCGGAGGGTGGGGGGGGGGG